AACTGGACCAGCACACAAAGGGTGAATGGGAATGAACTGGGGGTGCGGTTGGGAAAATAGGGTTGTAGAGAGCGGGATAGGTCTTCCTACAATAATAATAATACAATAACAAACCTTGCATTCGATGTCGCGCCTCATCAGGTCAGTGAGACGCCTCAAAGCGCTTCACAGGATATACTGTAAAGTGGAGTGACTGTGCATTTTATGGGCAAAATGTGGAGCAAATTTTGCGCACAGCAATGTCCCATGAAGTGAGCAACCAATTTTATTTGGGGGATTGTTATCCAGGACATTGGGAGAGAGAGAGAGAAATTCTCTTCTCTTTTCTAATCGTGCCATGAGATCTTAAACATCCACCTAAACAGGCAGATGGGACCTCGGTTTAACATCTCATCCAAAGGACGACACCTTCAACAATACAATCCCCCCACCAACAAGCACAGGAACTGAGCAGTCAGCCCATCAAGTCCATGCTGATGGGGACAACAACAACAACTGGTATTTATATAGCGCCCTTCACATGGGGTAGCGTCTCGGAGCTCTGCTCTAATCCCGCTCCCCTGCTCGCTCACCAAAACCTTCTATATCCCTCTGGTGGAATCTGTCCAGTTCTCTTTTTAAAGGACTTTGCCCTCAGTTTATGGCTGCGAGTTCTGCATTGCACCGCTCTTTGTGTGATTATTATTAAGGTTTGCCATCATTGCTCTACCTCCACCCATTCACAAACCGACTTGGTAAACCGTATGCTTTTCCAATCTTTGTTGCCGAGCTTGGAAATGGTCCCTGTTTCCTCCCAACACCCCCGCCCTGTATCATTTTGCACTGAGGAATCTTGGCTGAGAGGAACGGGATTACATTTGCGGATTACGGAGAGGTGGGTCCGGGAGTTGAAAAGCAGAGCCTTTCGCTGGAAGTGTTCGGATCAAACAAACCTTCTGATGTTCTTAAATACTATATATCAGATTGCAAAATGTGCAACCGGCTTTACCGCTTCTCTCTCTCTCGCTCACTCTTTCACTCTCTCTCTCTGGGGCCATGTAATTTATATTACCTGAATATTAATCAACTTCAATTCTAGTATAAGGTCAGCGTCCCCCTTAGGGTCGAATTAAAGAGTTGGAGGGTTTTACACCTCATCCAAAGGACGTCACCTCCTGCAATGCAAGGCTCCCTCCACTACTGAACTGTGAGCTCAACGTACCAGTGCAGGTCACAATTTCCTAGTGTTACATAGCTTCATTCCTCTGCTTCTATACTGACACAGCTTCAAAGGAGGGCAGAGGGGATACTGGTCGTGAAATGTTTAGATGCCAGGGCTGTCTCTTCTGTGTTACGGAATCCAGTAGCGTAATGGTTAGAGCACTTGCCTCGCAAGCAAGAAGACCCGGGTTCAATTCCCGGATAGGAACAAAACTTTAGGCAAGTTTCCTTACTCCACACGCCTCTGTTTACCAGCAGTAAATAGGAACCCGGTTGTTGGTCGATTGGCGGATCACCTTCCGGAGGTAATAAACCATAAAAAAAGGCACTATAGCAAATGCAAGGATTATTATTATTATTCTGTGGCCATGTTCTGCCATCTCCCAGGGTCCTGGCCACCAATTCCCCCAGAAAAATAATGGTCAGGCATTCCTGTTCTGTTACTGATTCAGTAAATCCTGTGAAGCGCCTTGAGACCATGTTAAATCAAATACAAGGATTTATCATTTATGGATCATGTCAAATGCAAGGATTATCATTATTATTATTATTAAATGCTGTAGAAATGCATTTCCTGCTTCACTTCTATACCAATCATTACACCAAGCAGCAATTGGATCAACAACAACAAATTAGATTTAGACAGCTCCTTTCATGTCAGGAAGACATCCCAAGGCACTGGAAAGTCGGGATTTGGACCCGAGCAGAGGGTTGGGATCAGGAGGGGTGGAGGGCCGGATGGGTGGGGTAGGAGGGTGACCAAAGGCGCGGTCGAAGAGGAAGGCATGAGGCTGGCCTTGAAGGAGACAAGGGAGAATGCGAAGCCAAGGGACTGGGTAGTGTTTAATGCATCAAAGTTTCTCAGTGACTCTCAAAAACTTTATAACAATTGTTCACTTCAGTAAGTAAAACACCTTAGATTCTTTTCTATACAATATGTTATGTTTTCTTTGAAGCGTTTGCACTGTCTCTCTGAGAAAATGCCTCTTACCTTTCTGTGTTGAGAAGAACTTGTGTTTTTTGTAGCTCTTCATCATGGTGAAAGGTCCCACAGCGTTTCACAGGTACTTACCGTCACCTGCAGTGGCTTCATGTTTAGGCAGCTCATTTGGACACAGCGAAGTCCAACACATCTCAAAGGTTTGTCAACCAGGACACTGGGAGAGAGAGAAAAAAAATCCTTACAATTGATATAGCTCATCATTGAGACTTCTCATAGCGCCTTCACAGAATATATTGTAAAGTGAATTGACTGTGTGTTTTGTGGGTGAAATGTAGCAGCGAATTGCACACAGCAACGTCCCACAAATAGCCATGGAGTGAGCGAACAATTTTATTTGGGGGATTATTGGCCTAGACACCAGGAGAAAGAGACTCCCTTCTTTCTTCCAATAATGCCGCGGGATCTTTAATCCACCTGAATAGACAGACGGGAGCTCGGTTTAACTTCTGATCCGAAGGACAGTGCAACCAACAGTGCTCCGACAGTGCAACCAATACCTCCCAGCACTGTATTGGGGTGTCAGCTGAGGGTAGTCTAACCCTTTTGGCTGATGAGGACAGGATGCCCTATTTGAGAAATGTCCACGGGCCCCTATGCAATATTTTTGTGTTTCCCTACGAGAAACATTACAACATTTGTGAGTTACGGAGGGAGAGAGTGGGCCAGATGAAATGGAGGGGGGGGTGAAGTCGGCCCGCGGGCCGCCAGTTGGGCCGCCCCGTTAATAGACTATGTCATCAGTCAGCAGCTTATGACTGTACGAATGGTGCCGACTGAATTACCCAATTCGCTAACTCCTCTTCGCTAATTCCCGTTGGAGATGCGAATATATTAAGCAGAAAGAAAAAAAAAGAGTCTATGTTTTCAGTTATCCAGGGAAGAGTTGGGGTTTCTGAGAGGAGAGAAGGCGGGGGGGTGTGGGGAGGAATAAATGTTACCGAAAACTATTCCGAAATAGAAATCTGGAGTTAAGAAACTTATTTTTGAAATTCGGAATTCCACTTTAAAATAAACATTTCAAGGCGAAAGGCAAACGAAACCATCGCAAAAATCTCCCAAACGGGACTCGCATCGACAATCAATGGGTTGAAAAATAATGACAAAGATGATTTTTTTAAAAAAAGCTTTAAAATAATTGAATTTGATATAAAGGTTTTTTTTTTGCAACGCAACGCTGAGGTGATATATTGTATTAAATGGTCACTTTAAAAACTGTTTTGATTTAAAAAAAAGGGTTAAAGTCGTTACAAGATACAAAAAAAGTTGCATTTATTTTACTTCGAAAGGTACCTTTTAACCAAAAGTAGATACAATATAAAAAAGGGCTCTGGTTTTGGGGGTAGAGAGAGCAACGTTGAAAACTTATACTTTGCGGAAACTATCTCACAAGTGGGTGAGTTGGGAAGTGAAGGTATGAAATATAAAGTACAGGGATGTGGGCAATTGCAAAGTTATTGAAAAATACGTTTGTTTGTGTTTAAAAAAAAAGTTTCCTTCCCAATAATCTGTGATTATATTGCGATTTCCACGCATCTAAATAAAAGGATTTAGTCTCCTTTCACTTTGTGGATGTCAGACAGATGACAGCTGCCCTTTGCATTCGTAATTGGGGAAATATTCTCTGCTTAGATTAACAAATTAACAAATTATAAAAATACTGTTAATTATATATATATATATCATAAAAATTAAAAAGCGATTTATAACCCATTGCTCCCCCTCAAAAGCTTTCAATTTTCTTTCCTGAGGGGTAGCTTGTTTTACTCCTACCTGTGCCAAGTTGTTAACCAACAGGTTTAGTTGGACTCTGGTGTGTGTTTTGCTGACTTGTGAGTAAAATTTACTGTGAGAGCAGAAATGAGCCACTCATTTTGTTCCTCAAGTATCTCAGTCTCACCTGAAATCCGTCCTGATTTGTCCAAAAAATGAGCCCACAAACCGTTAGAGGGCAGTGTTTTAACCACTCCAGACATTGGGTTTATTTGGAAACGGTTTTGCTTCCAATTTCCAATTGGAATTCAAATTAATTAACGCCTGAGAAATATGATGAATAGGAGGGGGGGGGGGTTTCTGCTAAAAGCGTGGAGTTTACTTCTCGAATTGGAATGCAAAAGGGGACGTGTATTTTGAGACACCTTTTGGTGCATTTAATCTCCTTTATTCTCATTTTTATCCCCAAAAAAATTGCGAATGAGATAAGATACATGGATGCGTGGTGTAAAGCTCTAGATTTCAAGCATCGAATAATCAATGGAATAAGCAACAAATGGCTTACAAGTTGACCTGAAGTTTCAGTGGAAACGAAAGTGCAATCACAACGATAATATTCACCTGAAGATTAATTTTTTTGGGGGTTGTTTTTGCTGTGTGTCACCATCACACAGAGGTGTGTCGGGGATCAGGGCGACCCCATTCCGCTGCATCTTTGGCCCCGGAATATTTCAAGGGCATTGCAATGGAACGGAAGATGTGCCACCGGGTCCCCATTCGGGGCCATTGGGATCTTATTGGGGGGAAAGGGGGAAAAATCCAGAAAACTGGGGATCAGCTCCAAGTTTAAATGATTTGCTGAGATTCTGAGGGAGAGGAATAAACGTGGGTTGTGGATGGGTTTGATTTGCAAAAAATGTCCAGAGGAGAGGGGGGGAGGGGGGGAGAGGGGGACAACCTGAACCTTCTCCCAAACTTTCTCCCAAACTTTCCAGGGAAGTTTGGAGAGAGAGAGAGGGCGCAAAGTGATGACGTCAACCCCCCCTCCCCCCTCCCCTCCAGGGTTTAACCTTTCAACTCCTCCAACATGGCGGCGGTCCGGAGGAGATTTGGGCCGATCTGGGGGGGTATTTGCCGGCAGTCCGCGAGCCCCCCGGGGTGTGCCGGCGGCCCGGGCCCGGGGCCGGGGGGCGGCGGGGGCGGGCTCGGCGCCGGCCGGTTTCTGGGGGTTTGGGTGGGGGGTTTGTGGAGTTCTTGGGGTTGTGTTTACCCCCCGAGTCGGTGTGGGGAAGCGGGTTGGACGCGGGGACTTGGGTACCAAAGCACTGACAGCAACACAGCGGCTCTCCATCCCTCCCCCGGCCATGGTCCTCCCTCACCTGGTCTCCGAGCCCCACGCGGCTCACACTCGGACATCGCACTACACGAAGTGTCGTCGAACTTCAATAATAATATTATTATTATTATTTATTATTATTATTATTATTTCAAAATAGAGATTTTTTAAAAAAAAACACGAAAAAAGTGACTTGTGGACAATCCCGTTTATTGTCCCTCTCGATTATTCCCCCTCTCCCCCCCCCCCCCAAAAAAAAAATACATTTGTTTTTGCCAATTTGTTTTAAAACGAACAGTTGAAGCCACGTTTTGTGTTGTTGGGGAAGAAGCAAAAAAGTCGAATTTTTTTTTTACAGAAAATGCAACACAGTGTATAACAGTTTTGTGATATATATTGTAATATATATATATATATGTGTGTGTGTGTGTGTGTGGTGTGTTTCCTCAGTGGAAAGTTTACAGCACATCCCTCTTTTTCACCAGGTCTACATGTTAATTTTTAAGCGATTTACGCACAAACCTGGACAGCTCTGGGTTGAGGGAACAGAAAGGTAACTCGCTCTTTGGAAAAGGAAGATTTCCAAAGGGAAAGGAAATAATTGCGAGGGAATCGGGGGTTAGTAATTGACACTATTCTTTTTTTCAAAAGAAGGGGGAAGAGAAGAAAAAAAAAAGAGGAAGGGGAATAAATCGTGAATAGAAGGCGATTATTAGATTAACTGCCCTATTCTATTCAGTTTAAGGTACCCTAATGATTTAAGTGAATAAAGGGACCCTCGTGGGTGGATTAAACTGACACTTTTCCATATGTCAGTGTATTGCCTTCTCTCTCTCTGGCCCACAGGAGGGAGGTCGGGTTACCGTTAGCTTTGCTATTACAGTTATCATCTACCATGCTATTAGCCTCCTTCGGAGCTGTGTCTAATTGAGGCTTTACGCGTACCTGGGCGCAAACTAGCGAGATATGATAGGGGATATGTTCAGAGTAAGTCCATCCCTCCCCTCAGTTTATGTATTGTCATTTAAGAAACAAAGTCAAAGTCTTTATTTATTGTTTAACATTTTTAAAAAAAACTTAGTTATCGCCACGGTCAGAGATGCTGCCCACCCTCTTGACCCATATAAGACCACATTCGCTATTTTACGAAATATCTATGTTGCTATTTGGCTAATTCGCTATTTTAAAGAAATAACAATAAGCCAATTGCGTTTGTGAGTGTGTGTTGGGCGTGATGTCTGCAGAAAGCGCTTGAACAAAACGCTAGTGTCTGAGTTTTAGGACTTTTCCTGTGTTATTTGTGTGTTTGTTTATTTGTTTTGGAACTTGGAAGACATATGTGGAATCCAGGCACCGATGAGAGATAGATAGCACATGCATCAGCCAAGACGGGGTGGGGGGGAAGGAGGGAGGGAGGAGCATTATATAAAACAAATAAAAGATTTCGCAAAAAAGTGCGTATTTTCCCGTTGGGTTTGTGAAGTTTGGTGTCATGACTTTTCATTTCTCACTAAGTTTGGAGACACGTCACACTGTTCCCAGCTTTTTTTGTGTGTGTGTGTGTGTGTATACCAAATCAGATCGCTTGTTCTACTGGTCTAACACACGGCGTCACTGGTAACTGGTTTAGTTTAGATTAGCCCTGTGTGAGCACACTGCAAGACAGACAGCCTCGTTTAAAGAGCATTGAAGCTTTATTCACAACGTCTCTCTGTCTCACACACACACATTCTCCCTCTGTCCCTCTCTTAAGCAAGCTTCGGGGATGGTAAGTGATTTAAAATCTCTAGCAAAGAGTTGAGAGATGAAGTTTGGGGATGTGGAGGGAGAGAAAGAGGGAAGGAAACACAAATGATAAGTTGTTGCCAAGTTTCAAGTTTCCAAACATTTTCTGAAGGATTACATTCAAATGATCGAGGGCTGTTAACACTCTGTATCTATGTGTTTGAGTCTACAAAAACTGAGCTGTTTTTTGGGGTGATGGTGGGGAAAGTGTTTTTTTGGTGGGGAAGTGGGGTGAAATTGTCTGTTTTTCTGCGTGTTATAAACACTTAAAGTGAAAGTGTATTAGGCACTGGGTCGATCATTCACTTTGAGGTTACCTTGTTATGAAATGAAGCGAGTTATCTCTCTCTCTCTCTCTCTCTGCGGGTCTCAATATATTTTCCAGTTGTAGAAATCTGGCGTTTAGAGAGACAGTGTTTTGGGCTATGCCAAGGGAACCTGTGACTGTGTTGGGGGAAGCAAGGCTGGTTGAGACTTTTCACAGTGATTTCTCCCATTAGATGGAGCTGTGAGGTGTGACTGAGACGCTGTGTGTGTGGAGCGTAGACTTGGCTCAATTTAAACATGTTACTGTAAACCTCGCCAAAGTCGTATCAGTTGTGAACCATACATCTAATATGGCTGTGCAAAATATGAGTTATGTGAAACTTACAAATACTGTACTATATGTGTGTCTGTTTCCCTATGATCGCGACAGAGCCACTTACTGCATAGGGATGTGAATGCAAACAGGACATGTGTCTATGTTGTTGGTGGTGCGTTGTGAGAGGGGGGCAGGTTGTATGTGTGCGTGTGGTGTTCGTGTTGGTGTTTGGGTTGTGGGGGTGTGTGTGTGGTGTGTGGTGTTGTTCAGGGTGGTGGGGGTGTGGGGGGGTTGTGTGTGTGTGGGTGGTGGTGGGGGTGTGGTGTTTGTGGGTGGTGTTGGTGGGTGGGTGGTTTGGCCCGGGTGGGGGGGGAGTGGGGTTGTGTTGGGGAGTGTGGGGGATGTGTGTGGGGGGGGGGAGGGGAGTGTGCGGGGATGTGTGTGTAGTGTGGGGGGAGGAGTGTGTGTAGTGTGGGGGGGGTCTGTGGTGGGGGTTGTGTAGGTGCTATGGGGGTTGTGTGGAGGTTATGTAGGGGCTATGGGGGGTGTTGGCATGCGTTGGTGTTATTGGGGCTGTGGGCGTGCGCATGTGGTGTTGGGGGTGCGTGTGTGGTGTTGGGGGAGTTACACGCCCGTGTGTATGGTGTTGGGATGGGTGGGTGTGCGGTTGGGTGGGCGCTTGTGTGGTGGTCGGGGTGTTCGGGGTCGGGGTGTGGTGTTTGAGGGGCTTGTGGTGTTCGGGTGTGTGTTCAGGGTCGGGGTGTTCGGAGTCCGGGTGGTCGGGGTCGGGGTATGGTGCTTGGGTGGGGTGGTATTCGGGTGTATGTTGGGGGTGGTGTTGGGGTGGGTGTTCGAGGTGGTGTTGGGGTGGGTGTTCTGGGGGGGTGGGTGGGTGTTCGGGTTGTTGGGTGTTCTGGGTGGGTGGGTGTTCGGGTTGTTGGGGGTGGTGGGTGTTCAGGGGTGGGTGTTGAGGGTGGGTCTGGGTGTGGTGTTCGGGAGGGGGTGGTGTTCGGGGGGGGGGGGTGTTCTCTCCTCACGCTGCTGGTCTCTCTGCTCAAGTGAGGCTCTTGCAAGTCTTCCCTTTTTATAGGATTCAAGAAAAAGCACTCAGTTTTGACTGGTCAGCAAATTTACTAATCCCCAAACCCCTGACCTATGATTAACTGCTAATTGACTTGTTTGCCATCTTACCTCTGCTGAATGAAACAGTTCTCTCTTGCTCTCTGGTATCTCTCTTGCTGAAGAATTCCCACTCTCACCAAATTCCTAAACAGAAGTCTCCATCAGTTACCACCTCACTCAGTTCCCTCCTTACGCTGCTGGGCTCTGCTGTCTCTGTTGGTGTGTGTGTGTGTGATGTTGTGGGGAGGTTATGTGTGTGTGAGGTGTGTTGATGTTGTGGGGGAGTGTGTGTGTGGGGCGAGGAGATTGTGTTTGTGTGTAATGTTGGGGAGAGGTTGTGTGTGTGTGTGTCTGGTGTTGAGGTGCTTGTGGTGTTGGGGAGTGCTGTACACTGTGATATGAGGCGCTATAACAATATTCACAAGTGATCACACCTCATGAAGGAGAACACAGCCCCACCCGTTAAAGCTTCTGAGTTGCTTTAATGCCAGTGAACTCGGTTCACTTTATAACCTCCAGTCTTAATTTCCTTTGCCCTTTTGTAAGCGTTTGTATGTCTCTCTTCAGGTATGGCTGTCTCTCTCTTTATATATATATATATTTATATATTCATAAATATATTCATATTCATATATTTATTCATATATATATTCATATGTCTTTTTCTATTTGGGCATCTGTGTGTCTCTGTGTCTCACTTTCTGTGTGTGTGTGCCACCCCTCCTTCCCTTCTCCCCCCCCCCCCCCCCCGACCGCAGCTCAGGTCTGAAATGTTGTACACTGTCCAGCGCCTTGAGACGTCCTCCCGACGTGAAAGGCGCTATACGAATGTAATCCTGTTGTGTGTGTCTCTCTATATGTGTGTGTCTCACTCTATATCTCTCTCTCTTTATGTGACTCCGTTACCTTTCCTGACTGTGTTTATTACTGACCGGCGGGTGACCGAATGCAGATTTCTCATCAGTTGAGATGTTTTGGGAGGATTATAGATAACCTTTTTTTAAAAAAATATATGGCGGGGGGGAGGGGGGAGGGGGGTTAGAGGTTGGGTTTCACTGAAACTGAGCAGGTTTTTCAGCGTGTCCTGTGGGTGGGTGACTTTGAAGCGCCTTAACTAAGTCCTAAGAAACTTTTATTGGACAGGACGTGGGGGGTGGGCTGAGCCGGGGAGCCCTGTTTGTGGGGTGGGGAGGGGGGAGACACGCGTCAGCTACTGGCACTGATACCCACCAAAGCCTCTCTCTCTCTCAGAGCATCAGATATGAAGGCAGATTCCTGTCGCTCCTCACTTCACTTGATGTGGGCAGAATAAAAGGAAAGGCAGTTTAAAACGGTTTTTTTAGAGAACGAGTACAGCAGGTTCTCCCTCCCCCCCCCCACCACCACCACCCCCCCCCACCACCCCCCCCACCACCATACACACCCCCACCCCACCCACACACCCCCACACACACCCCCCACACACACCCCACCCCCCACACCCCCCCCCCACCACCACACACACACCACACACACACCCCACACACCACCACACCACCACCACACACACCCCCACCCACACCCCCCCCCCACCACCACACACACCCCCCACCACCACCACACACCCCCCCCACCACCACACACCCCCCCACCACCCCCACACACCACACCCCACCACCCCCCCCCACAACACACACACCCACCCCCCACCACCCCCACACCCCCCCCCACCCCCCCACACACCCCCCCACCCCCACACACCCCCCACCACCCCCCACCACCCCCACACCCCCCCCCCCACCACCAACCCCCCACCCCGAATGAGTAGGAAACATTTGAACAAATAAAGATCCTATTCCGAACTATTCGGACACACATTGCGGATGTTCCTCTGTCTGTTTGGCCGCTGCGCTGCTCTTTCGCAGTTGCAGACAGTGACAGTGAAAGTGATTCAAAGGTTTATACATTTTTGGTGTTGGGTTTTCGGTCAGTGAGTTTGTCTCACTGTGTGTGTGTGTGTGTCTTACTGTGTGTGTCTCGCTGTGTGTGTGTGTGTGTGTCTCTCACTGTGTGTGTGTGTCTCGCTGTGTGTGTGTGTCTCGCTGTGTGTGCCTGTCGCTCTGTGTATGTGTGTGTGTGTCTCGCTCACTGTGTGTCTCGCTGTGTGTGTGTGTGTGTTGCTGTGTGTGCCTGTCGCTCTGTGTGTGTGTGTGTGTGTGTGTTGCTGTGTGTGCCTGTCGCTCTGTGTGTGTGTGTGTGTGATTGTGTGTATCTCATTCTCCGTGTGTTTAACTCTGGGTTTGTCTCACAGTCTGTCACAGGTTCTTGTCGTCTCTCTCCTCTCTGTCGCTGTTTCACTCGTATTCCCTCTGAATATTTCTCTCTCTATGTGGGTATGTCTCACATCTCATTTTCTGTATCTTTCACTCTACTTTCCCTGCGTGGATCTCTCTCTCTCTCTCTCTCTTTCTCTATATCCTTTTCTCTCTATGTGAGTATGTCTCGCTCTCTATCGTTTACTCCCTCTCCCTCTATCTGTGGATCTGTGTCTCTCTGTGTGAGAATATCTCGCTCTATCGTTTACTCTCTCTCTCTTTATCTGTGGATCTCTCTCTCTCTCTCTGTGAGTATATCTCGCTCTCTCTCTCTGTGGATCTGTCTCTGTCTCTCTCTGTGTCTGTCTCACTGTCTCTGTGTCTGGTTTGCAGAGTGCGGCGCTGTCTCGCCAAGACCAGTACTATGTGGGAGGCCAATACTATGATTATCCCTCTTCCATCTCCACCTCAGCCAGTGTTGACATTTCCATGGAAACCTGGGTGTCTCAGTGGCCGGTCGGTATCCTGGACAACCACCCGGCCAGCCTGCCCCAGCCCCAACCCCAAACCCAACCCCAGCCCCAACCCCAAACCCAACCCCAACCCCAGCCCCAACCCCAACCTGAGCCCCAGCCGGAGACTCAAGGTAAGTGTCCTCTTCCACACACACACACACACACACAAACACGCGTGGAACATAGCCCAAATCTATGCAAAACTCTTCCTCTCTCTCTTTCTCTCTCTCTCTCTCACACACACACACACACACACGTGGAAAATAACCCCAAATCTATGCAAAACTCTCTCTCTCTCTCTCTCTCACACACACACACACGTGAAAAATAACCCCAAATCTATGCAAAACTCTTCCTCTCTCTGTCTCACACACACATACACACACACGCGTGGAAAATAACCCCAAATCTATGCAAAACTCTTCCCCTCTCTCTCACACACACACACACACGCACGGGGGAAGCTGCCCAAATCTGAACAGATATCCCAGTCACGGATCCTGGGCTGTGTCACCAGTGTAACACGATGTTGGTGTTATTTCAGCAATGGGGCAAGAGATTTTTTGGGGGTGGGTGAGGGGGGGGGGGGGGGGGGAGTGGGTGGGGGGGGGGGGTGTAGCAATCTTCTTGCAAAGTCATTTTGCAATAAAATAGCTAGAAGCGGATTTCTGGGTTGGGTTGTTAGCGAAAGGTGCAAAATACACGCCGATTCCGTTGGTTTGAATGCACTATTGATGCGCTCTCTCTCTCTCTCTCACACACACACTCCGTTGTAAGTCATCTATATCTGCACAGTGGTTGGTATCAGGACCAGACCTGACTTGACCTCCCGGGCCGGGCTGGGCCGGGCTGGGCTGGGCTGGGAGGGCTCCTTGCCTGCCCCCACTGGATGGTATTTTGCTCCCTTCGTTATCACCTCGACCTTTGCTTCACTTGGACTGGAAAGCGCTCCCATAAATAACCCGGGCTAAAGATTAACCCGAGGGAAGGTGCGGGGCGCGTGGAGAGCTCAGAGAGGTGGGATTTACAGCCTCCACTAATGGGTGGCAGCAAAATCCTGGCTTTGATATGAATTGGATTGATTTCATACATTGGAGAATTTCTCAAAGCCCTTCACAGGAGGGGTGGGGGGGTTACAGGAAAGTGTAGTGGCTGTTTAGTGGGATATAATGTATACAGACTGACTGATGTAGGGGAGGGGTATTGTGTGTGTGTACATATTATTATTTTAATTATTTGATTATTATTTAGGATTATCACATATATATATATATATGATATATATAGACTGGGTGATGGGTGGTTTAAAAATAATAATAATAATTTGGTCACTCAATCCAGGAGTGATTGTGGGACGCTGCTGTGCGCAATTGGCTGCCACGTTTCGCTCAGCAATATACAGTATATTTTACGGTATGTTCTGTGAAGTGCTTTGAGATGTCTTGAAGAAATGATAAAGCGCTATATTAAATGCAAGGATTATTATTGTGTACACAAACTTGGGTGATGGGGAGGGGTGGGTGGGGTTTGTGTATATAGACATGGTAGTGGTAATGGGTTACTGTGTGTGTATAGAGTGGGGCTCAGTGATGTGTTATATTTTCCCACCAGGTGTCTTCTCTGACTTTGAGTTCATCAACCAGGATGAGTTTGTGTGGACAGACAATTTATCCTCTCAGCTCTATAAAAACAAGCAGGTGAGATTGCTCCCAATTTATTGGTTGAGCTGTACGCTACAAATTCAGTGTTCCGTGTGTTGTGAATTACCGCTTACAAATGATCTGGAGTCCTGTAGCATAGTGATTAGGGCACTCGCCTCGGAAGTGAGAGGAGGGACCTAGGTTCGATTCCCAGGCGGAGCAAAACTTTAAGCAAGTGTCCTTACTCCAACGCCTCTGTTTACCTTGCAGTAAGTAGGAACCTGGTTTAGTTGATTGGTGGATCACTTTCTAGGGGTAATGATGCCTTCACAAAAATAAATAATAAAAAAAATGTGGTCACTCGATTGTTTGCTGTGTGCAATTGGCTGCTGTGTTTCGCCAGCAAAATATATAGACAATTCACTTTACAGTATATTCTGCAAAGTGCTTTGAGGCATCCCAATGAGGCACTATATCAAACGCAAGGATTATTATTATTGCTAAGAGCATTGTGTAACAGACCCACCTACACTGTGATTGTTCTCACAGCTTCAGGAGACGCTGGAGCAGAAAGAGGAGGAACTTGCTCAGTTACATGAGGAAAACAGCAAGCTGAGAGAGTACCTCACCTCCACCTACGTCAAGTCTTTGGAAGATAAAGCCAAGGTGAGGCATGGCCCCATGCCAGCATGGGGACACTGAGCAGCGATGGCATGAGGCCTCTTTCTGTGGCAATGTCCTTGACTAGATACAAACTTTTAAGAACAGCATGAAGTCCCGTAGCTTAGTGATTAGAGCACTCGCCTCACAAGTGAGAGGACTCGGGTTCAGTTCACTAGGCACGTTTCCTTACTCCAAAGTTTTCTGTTTACATAGCAGGAAGTAGGAACCCCCTTTGTCAGTTGAATGGCAGATCACTTTCCGGGGGTAATAATCCTTCCAAAAAACAAACAAAAATATTTGATCACTCAATCCACGACAATAGGATTATTATTACTATTATAACAACAAATTGGATAAATCCTAAAAAGGGTTCAATAACCCTTTTTAGAACCCGTTTCATAAAGTTAGCAGAAATGGTTTCCACTAGTTGGGGAGCCCATTACCAGGGGACACAAATAATAAGATGAGGCCTGGGGATTCAAAAGATAATTTAATTTGAGATTGTTGAATTCGCTGTCTGAAGTGGTGGTTGAATCAGATAGTGTGGATGCATTCAAGAGGAAGCTAGACCTTCACATGAGGGAGAGGGGAATAGAAGGGTGTGGGAGGGAGGGAAGGAGAAATGGGGTGAGACTCGTATGTAGTCTGAAACAAAGCACTGGCACAGATTGGTTGGACCGAGCAGCCTGTTTCCGTGCTATACAGTCTGTGTAATTTTTATAATAGCGGCTTTGTACTTCATATCAGGAGGATATCCGAATGTACAGATCTTTTAATCCCATTCCTCACCTATTCTCAATCCATGACTGTTTGTGGGACACTGCTGTGTGCAATTGGCTGCCGCATTTTCCCCACAAATATACAGTCAATTCAGTTTACAGTTTTCTGTGAAGTGCTTTGAGATGTGTAGAAGATGTGAAAAGCACTATATCAAATGCAAGGATTATTATTATTTTCCATAATCATTAATATCTCTTCTGTGCTGTAAATATCTGTGGTAAGTTTCTGTGGGATATTACAAATAACTTTTGTCGTAATTACCTTAATGTCCAGGGAGATTTCTGTTTATTGATGCACAATTGGGTTATTTACTTTTTATTTTAAAAAAACTGCTGAGTAGTAAACTTATGAACAGGTCCCCAAGGGAGACGATGGTAGCTGAAAGTGCTGTTTGTTTCAAAAACAAATTAGACAGATTTCTGACAGAAAATAATATCTGGGGATACAGTATATAGTTTAGGACACAACATGTCAAGCGAATGCCAGGATGGTGGAAGGTGAACTGGATGGACCTTGGTTCCCCCCCAAACAAAATCCAGGCTATTTGGTCAAGTTACTCACTTACATTCAAACCTTCAAAGCTTAAGAGACTTTTTGTTGTCCATAGAAACTATTGACGCAAAGTGGACGAAGAAAAGGAGAGATCCTGAAATGCAAGAGGCGCCTGTTTGAGCCGCAGGATCCAGAGCCCGGATCGTCTATCTCCGAGATCCACCTCAAGAAGGGGCGGGCGGAATCACTCAGTGGGAATGAAGGTGGGTCTTTCTCTGCCAGAGACAGCCAGCAAGGTGGGTGCATTGAGAGCTGGGTGCTTCAAACCCTGGGGTTGAAAGATGTGAACACCATCGATGATGCCTTATCAGCTAACTACAGTGCCATTACCAGCGACGACCTGACCTCGATCCAATACAGTGAAGCTCACTTGGGGGCAACTGTTTACAGCACAGACTGTGTGATGCCTACAGACTACCCCACTGCCCAGTTGGCCTCCATGGACTTCCCCGCTGGGCTCTGTGGGCTGGAATCAGCCCCACCCTCTACTCGCTACTCGCCTCCCACCCCCCTGCCCAGCCAGGTGCTCAATCCCTTTTACGCCTGCAAGGTGACCCCCAACAAAACGGACGTGGCTTTCTCCACCTCACTGAGCCCCCACCGCAATGTGAAGACACACAGCTTCCACCAGGGACAAGCCTTTGTGCGGCGGGATGAAGAAGGAGGCTGGAAATTCACCTGGGTCCCCAGCCACAGAGACTGAAGCCGCCTTCACAAACTGTTTACAAAATCTCCCCCAGCACTATCAAGACAAATATCTTGTCCCCTCATACCATTGGTCTCCAATGATATCATCAGATCAAATGATTACTGTTGTCCAGGAATGTTCAAATGTACTGCAATTCTCTTACTTCCCCCTCCCCACCCCACCACCACTGAACTCATTGGCAAAGTACAAGAGCATTGCCCTTACACCTAGAAGAAAGTTTTTTAGTCAGCCGGGTGTCTGACACATGTGGAAACCCATCACCGTTGCTTAAGAGTATCCAAACCAAGCTGAGAATTTCATGCATCCCACCTACACGTGGAAATCCCAGAGATAGATTGTTGGAATGGAATGCGCTCTCTGGAGGGACACAATGGAGGGACGCATCCTGCTTACCTAATTCTGGAAAGTATTAAGCGTGGGTTGGCATTATAAATGTGCCAAGACTTGGAACAACTTGGAACAGCCATGAGATACTAACAGCACCACATCATATGGATTACAATTGCAACCAATTGGGGCAGTTTTACCCTACTTTTTGAACAGCCCAGTTGTGGAGAGGGGTTTTTACCAATGATCTGTCTGAGCTGAGTAAGTCCAGCAGTTGTGTGTTCCCCCAGAGCACTGTGACCTGTTGAATTGTTTCTTCTTTGTCAACAAGACTCAGGTACAACATCCCCTGGCTGCCATCAATAATCAGCTCCAGCCAATCACAGCCAAGAGTAACCTTGCCTCCCCAGCCAATCACAGCCAAGAGTAACCTTGCCTCCCCAGCCAATCACAGCCAAGAGTACCCTTGCCTCCCCAGCCAATCACAGCCAAGAGTAACCTTGCCTCCCCAGCCAATCACAGCCAACAGTAACCTTGCCTCCCAGCCAATCACAGCCAAGAGTACCCTTGCCTCCCCAGCCAATCACAGCCAAGAGTAACCTTGCCTCCCCAGCCAATCACAGCCAAGAGTAACCTTGCCTCCCCAGCCAATCACAGCCAAGAGTAACCTTGCCTCCAGCCAATCACAGCCAAGAGTACCTTGCCTCCCCAGCCAATCACAGCCAAGAGTAACCTTGCCTCCCCAGCCAATCACAGCCAAGAGTAACCTTGCCTCCCCAGCCAATCACAGCCAAGAGTAACCTTGCCTCCCCAGCCAATCACAGCCAAGGGAAACCTGCTGCCCCAGCCAATCACAGCCAAGGGAAACCTGCTGCCCCAGCCAATCACAGCAATGCCTGTCCTGCAGGTCCAACCAATTACAACAAAGCCAACTCCTTCCCAGCTGTTGGATGATGTCACTGAGTGTGGAAATGGCTCCAATATCTTGTTGAACACCCAGAAATAGCAAAGGTTATGGTGGAGCCAACATCAGCAGCGATCACATGGGTGGGGAGAGGAGCTTGACCAAAAGTGTGGCCGAAGGGGAGGGTCTTGAGACCCATCTTGAAGGAGGCAATGGATGGAGTAATGCAAATGGACTGTGGGATGGAGTTCCAAAGGCTGGGGTTGAATGACTATCCTCTCTCCTTAACAGCGGAGCCAGTGTTGGGTGCGGCAGCAAGTCAGATAATGAATACAGCGCCTATGGTCACCTCACAGCTGAGCAATATAATGCCCTGATTTCCCAGCGTCACTTCACCCACCTATCAGATTTGGTCACACCTCGTATTCCCATTGACGAGCCAAACAGGCTGCTCAACCATCAGTCATGTCTTGGATTTACTTATTTACTGCCTGGCGAAAAAACCTGCTTCCAAATCCCAATCATTATCGATCTCTGTAGGATTTGAACAGCAAACAAAACATGGATCTAATTCTGGAACAGAATCAACCTGCTTTTGCTTCTTTGACGGTGATTATTTGTTCGCCAAGGGACGATCTTCTTAAAAAAAAAACACAATTCTTTTAAACTTCCTATCCGCCATATCGACCTGTCCGCTCCCTCCGCTCAGCAGGCTCCGGCCTGCTCCACATCTCCCGCCCAGCGCCGGTTGGGTCTTCAGCCTTTTTGGAACTCCATTGCACAATCCCTTCGCATTACTCCATCCATTGCCTCCTTCAAGATGGATCTCAAGACCCTACACTTCGACCACACTTTCGGTCAAACTCCTATCCCCACCCTCCCTGTCCTCCACCCCTCCTGATCCCAACCCCCAGCTCGGGTCCAAATCCCTGACTGTCCAGTGCCTTGGGACGTCCTCCCAACGTGGAAGGCGTAAATGTAATTTGTTGTTGTTCCCATTTTATTTTTATTGGAAAAAAATGATTACTACAGTTTTTTTTACATTTTTAATTAAGATTGAAACTGTTGCTCAACACAATTCTGAAAGGAAAATAAATCAACAGGTTTTTCACAAGCTTAGCCTTATTAGGTGCAGCAGAATACTTGATGGGTTGAGAGATTAAGCCTCAACCCAGCCAAGGTCCTACCAAGGCTGTATGTCTTCCCTTCACACCTCCTGATCCCAACCCCCTTGGGTCCAAATCCCTGACTGTGCAGCGCCTTGGGAAGTTCCACCTGACATGAAAGGCGCTATACTAATGTAATTTGTTGTTCTTGTTTTTTTTATTAAAAAAGGTATGTTTTACTGGTCAAGCACTATATTAGCACGAACAAAAGTTTGCTGGACAAATAATGTGAATTAATAAATTAATTAATAATGAATGAATTATTAATAATGAGATCAAACTCCCGCACTCAAAAGCATTGCAACTTGCGTTAAGTTTTTAACCTTAACAAACTCAATGAAGTTGTATCAGAATTATACGAAGTGAGAGGCTGACGCTATGTTTCAGTGCTTTGGGGTGTTCTCTCGATGTGAAAGGTGCTATACAAATGTTTGTCGTTGTTTTAAAGGAATTCCAGTGTAATGTTTCTCATTAAAAAAAANTCTAATTGAACGTTACCAGTTAACCAATAAATCCAATTTTTTTTTACATAAACTGAACCCAATTTTTTTTTACCGAAAACTGAACGTGTTGTTTATAAAACCACTTACTTGGCAGAACTAATATTTTGAGAGGTTGCTCCCTAAATGTAATGGGATTTGGTATTCATTAAGTGCTCTGGGACTCTACCCTGTGTTATATATAGGCAAGTTGTTGAGGTTGCTGTTATTCAGTGCAGTATCTATTATCAACACCAACAACTTGCATTTAATATAGTGCTCTGTGTGAAGGGTTCTATATAAATGCATTTTGTATGTTGTTGTCGTTATCTACATGACTGGTGATGTGCATCATGGGGAGGACTTGTATGTACTGGCTACACAATGAATACTCCCTTGCCATATAGCCACTTGTGTTTATAGAGGAGTGTTATGCTAGGAAGTTAGAGTGGAGAGCAGACAGTTGGAGCAGAGTTTGACATCCTCAGTGGTTCCCTCATTGAGGAATCCCCCAAGTGATCAGAGCACATTACATCCTTTATCATGAATGGGGTTCTGGCAGGTAGATAACTTGCTGATCTGTTTTGAAACTGAAAAAATCCTGATAAAATATAATGGATACAATGTCCCTGTCTGGAACATCAGCCCTTATCAGCGCCTTGGGACGCCCCCTGATGTGAAAGGCGCTATACAAATGTAATTTGCGGTTTGTTGTTATCAGGTCTGATTTGATGTTCTAACTTCATTATAGTTTGAGGCTGGGAATTGGCACAGTTCACATACAAAATATTTTTTGCCCAGAAAAAACAGTCAATTCACTTTACAGTGTATACTGTGAAGCGCTTTGAAATGTCTTGAAAATGTGATAAGGTACTATATGAAATGCAAGGATTATTATATATATATATCCAGAGTCAAGCATTTTTTTAATCAGCCGGGTGTCTGACACATGTGGAAACCCATCACCATGCTTAAGAGTATCTTAAGGCAGAGATCTATGAATGCCACTTACACATGAAGATTTGCCTGTGACTGGGATGGATTAAGCATCCACTTCCGGAGGAATGCACCCTATTTACCTAATCCCAGAGAGTGTTAGACACAGGGTGACAAAATACAAGGCTTGGGAACACTGCTATTCTGCACACTAACTGAAGTCCACCGAGTAATGGACTGATTGGATTCCGAAGACATGGTATTAAAACGTAAAATCCCCTTCTTGTGAATTGGTGGTCGCTAAATTTATTGGGCAAATCAGTTTCTTTTTTATTAAGTGCATCCTATATGAAACAATCTTACTGCTGCGGCACAAACATACCTTTCTCTGATTGTTGGAGTCACATTGTGTGGAACCAATGTTAAACGGACATGGAATTCAATATAGGCAAAGAGGTTCAATGTTTCTCACTGTCTTTGCCTTACGACCATGGTCTTGAGATTGAAGTCCTCCGCCCCCTCCCTTGCCTCTTTCAAGCCCCTCCTCTTCGACCATACCTTCGGTCACCCTCTTACTCCTGCCCTCCATCCTTCCTGATCCCAACCACCAGCTAGGGTGTGGATTGCTGACTGTCCAACACCTGCTGACGTGAAAGACCCTAAACAAATGTAATTTGTTGTTGTTGAAGATCATGAAATAAATTTGAACCTCTTGTAATAAATGGGGCAAGATCAAAAGAGAGCAGGGAAATCCTACCTCTGACTCCAGGCACAAGTACCAGTTGTTTGAGATCACCAGCCCTTGTCTTCCCCTTCCTGTGTAGCAATTAGAATCATAAAATCTTACAGCACAGAAGGAGGCCATTCGGCCCATCGTGCCTTTGGAGGTTTCTGAAAAAGCTACCAACTAATCCCACTCCCCAGCTCTTACCCCATAGCTCTGCACATTTTTCCTTTTGAAATACCTGTCCAATTCCCTTTTGAATCTGCTACTATTGAATTGTCACTTTTTTTAGTATTCCAAATCCCTACACAAATCAATATGTTTAATTATTGCCAAGACGTTTAGCTGAGCTCAGTTGGCAGTTGTGGGATGAAACCCCACTTTGGGACTTGGATTCACACAGTCTAAGCTGACACTCCAGTGCAGTGCTGGGGGGATGTTGCATTATCGGAGGTCCTATCTGCCTGTTCAAATGGATGTCACTGGTCTTTTTATTATTCACCCCAAGGACCGGTTTCAAACTGCCTCTCCAAATCCTGCCCAACAAAACATGTCCCTGGTGCTGCGTGTCCTCAGTAATCCACCCAGTTGGCACGTTGACAACCTGAGCCTTTGTATATATTGTGCATTTTGTATATTGTTTCAGTTTGTGTGCATTAATATTGT